TGTCGATAAAAGTTACAGAATTGCACTACAGAGATGCTCAAAAAACAGAGCGATATCATTCCGTTGCACTAACGAGAAAAATTTACTCAATGAAATAAAATCATTTGCATTGAAGCCGCACAAAAATATCGTTAAAGTTAACTGTAAAATGGCTGCTTATTATGATTTCACAGCACACTTAAATTTAATATTAACGTTTAATATTATCTGTTAACGATTGAACATTAACGACAGCTTTTCGTCTCGAGTAAAAACGAAAAGAGTTTTTTTATCGTTAATTCAAATATAAAATTTTAAAATGCAAAAAAAAAAAAATAAAGAAAAATGTTTAATTTTCACCACTAAAAAAATATTTCGTAAGATAAACCCTTTTTAAATAAATTTTTAAAAGTATTCCCCTACATTTTTATGTATTTTTTGTGCATAAATTTTTATTCAATCAAACTACATACATACATATGTAATCTCCACAACATAAAAAAAACCGCGATTATTTCCAATATTTTCTATATTCTATCCATACATTTTGTAGCGATTTCTTCATTGCATTTCGAATTGCATTTTGTCTGGCTTTGGTCGTGACTGGATTATGTCTGCTCTAGATATGGTCGGGACTGAATTATATCTTTCGGGTTTTTGTATTCCGAAATTCTGCATATCGGCCACTCATTATACAAGCACACTGCAATCAAAAAGAGGGTTTGAGGCATGAAAAGTAGTAAAGTAAGTGTACTAGTGAGCGAAACTAGTAAATGGACAGTAAATCTGTTAATAATTTCATATCAAAATTAAATGCGTTCGAAGTAAGAATTGATCTTTAATTAAAATTAATAATTTTATAATATGTCATGACGACATTTTCCAGTTTGGGAAGACTGTGACTTAAAAGAATCTCTTGCAGTCGTTATTGGTGTGTTCTGTGAAATGTTTTGTGGCGAAAAAATTATTTGCAAAAAATTTACTTTGAATTGAATTGGATTTTGAAACTATTATTGATTTCGTATTTTTTCCAAAAAAAAAAAAAAAAAAACAAAAAAAAAAAAAAAAAAAACAATAATTATAATTCACTTTATATTGTACATATGTCTTCATATGCATTGTGAGGAGTTGTTTCGTGTGAATGAACTGTTTGTTAGTATTATACAATATTTTTTTGTATTTGTAATTTTGCGAACTATTGTTGTTCTATTATAGTAATACATATATATTTAACACATTCTCTTGACGAGTTTTACACAAATATTGCATTGCATTCTATGTATGTATGAATAAATATATATTGAATTGATTTACTTATTTTTTGTTTATGCCAATTTTAGTTGTTAAATATTTTTGATTCACTGTAAAGTATGGTAATTTTTTTATTATATAAATTTCTTGCTGTAGTGGTTTTACTATTTTTTTAAAGAACTTAAGTTTTTAAATTTTGTTTTCAGCTGTGCTTACATTTAATTAATATGTAATGTTTTTTTTATGATATTTCAATAATTGCCATACAAATGATATTTTTAACCAACTTTTTTGGATTTGGTGCTTTTTTAAATTTTAATTCTTTTTTTTAATTAAATAAAATTATTTTTTTTAATTTGCATTTTTAGTTATAACTTCTTACCCAAAGGCAAATTGTTGTGTTTTAGTTTTAATTTTTAATTTTAATTTTGTTTTTAATTTTATTTTTAATTTCAATTCTTCTTCTTTTTTATTAAATAATTTTGCTTTTGAAAACAAATTTTTAATATTTAGTGTAAATATATGCATATTATATATAATAATTAATTCTACTTCATTTAAATTTTTAGTGCTTAAAATTAATCACTACCACATTGCAAACACATTTTAATTTTTTTTGTGTTATTAAGACGTAATTAATGATACGCATTTCCAACATTTTATTTTTGTTTTAATTTTACATATTATTTATTTTTTTTTTAAATTTTTTTTTGTTTTAATGAAATTTAGTCCATTTTATGCTGTTTTTGATTTTTGCATTTAATAATTTTCTTTTTCATTGCAATTTACATGCCAAGCATTGTTTATATGTCTGTTTGTAGTATTTGCTATTTAGTTATCTTCATTTATTTTAAACGCTTATATGTAAATATATTTAATACATATATATTACTATTTTGCTTTTCATAGTTTTTTATTCACATACACTTTAGTACTTGTAACTGTTTGTGTATTTGTGTGGAATTATGTTATCTATAAGCCAAGTAAAAAATAAATCGGCTTTTCAGCTTCCCATGAATATGCATGCATAATCTAGTTACATTGTACATACTTACATGTGTATGTAATTCCTATATTTTTTTGATTTTACATACATATATATATTTTGAATTTATGTATAATATATTGTTTTCCATTTAAATATTACCTTTTTTGCCCCTTTTTCTTAATTTTTGCTTTTGTCTTTTAGACATATTTTATGAAAAAATTTATATTATTTTATATTTTAATATACATATATGTATATACTCGTATATATATATTTTTTATCTTTTTCTGGCATTTCTTCAACTATATTATTAATGCAATACATACAAGCGCTAACAAATTTACATTTCTTTTTGAATTTTAAAGGCCTTTCTACGTTTCTACTACGTTTTGGTTTTTGCATTTACGTTTACTACTCACACTAGTTGCATACATACTTATAGTACATATTTTTATTGTTTCCATTTTCTATTTAAATATATGTATTTCATTCCTGCATCGATATACTATTACCTAATGCACAACAAACATGACTAATACTAACATACATATGTATATACAACAAAATTGTATATATATATGTATGTATTAATGCTGGCAGATATGGTAAATAATAAAAAAATGTGTGAAATATCAATTATTTAGTTTAAAAAATTGCTGTTTCATAAATGTTAATAATTAATAAAATTATGTTAATAATAAATTGCCTTAGAAAAAAAATCTTTTTCATAAAGCAAATTAATAAATTTATATATATTGAAAAAAAGTTAAATAATTAAAATATGTAGTGGCTATGAAAATTATTTTTTAAAGTACGAGACTGCATTTTTTGAACTTCGAGAAGCCTAAAGCATTGTACGCGCTCAAGAGAATTATACTAAATTAAGGTAATTATTTTCGTGATGTTGAAAATTTACAAAAAAAAAAAGCTTGAAGTAAGTAAACTCACTCTTAGCAAAAAAAAAAAAAAAAGATTCATAGCGAATAAGAATACATAAAAAACGTAAAAAGTAAAAAAAAAAAATAAAAAAAATAAACTTCACTCTTTTAAGGTGTTTATAATTTAACACCACTCTGTATTGATAGAAAATTAAAAAAATAATAGAATTAAATATTTTGATATTTTTTAAATTTAATTTCAATGTAATTGATAATTTTTTATTTAACGATAATTGTGATTTGATAATATAATAAAATAGTAAAGTATTTAATTTGATAATTTCAATTAATTTATATTGAAAACTATTTTTTACAGGTAATTTTAAATTAAAAAAATATACAAAAAACGGTTTTAATTTCGCTTAATCAAGCAAATATCTACTTTTATATATATATTAAATTATTTATTATTGATTATGGAAAATATAGAAGATAATTGACTTTATAGACTTTTATTTATTTTCCCAAGATAAAACCAAATTTGAAACTGAAACCCTACTTAAGTATTTTAGTAATATATATTAAAAAAAATTAATAAAAAGTAACTAAATTTGAAGAGAGGGTTTTTGAGTTGCTTGCCTTGTTTTCCTAGTGGAGAGCTTTTATATATCTCAAAAAATAAGCTTTCATAATTTTTCGTTATCAAAATGTCTGGTTTTCATTTTTGAAATATTTCTTAACGATTTACTTTTTCATTTGAAAGCTTCCATAATTAACAAGCCTTTTAAAGAGAAGCTTTCATAAATCTTTACTATCAAAATGTCTGGTTTTCACTTCACCAACATTTCATAAATTCGCTTTTTTAATAGAAAGCGTCCATAATTCACTTGAGTAATGCTGTTTGCAGTTTGTGGTGATGTTGTTTTCTATAAAATGAGCAACGTGCAACGCATGGTAACACACACCACTAATTTAAATTTAAAAAAATATAATTTAATGTTATTCAATTTAAAAATGAATAGAATTTAAAATTATCTGATTTGAACATGCGCTTCCTCAAAGCGAAGCTTTCAGCAGCATATCATTTAAATTATAGAATACCAACGCTTTCCTCATGTTTTTGAAGCTTTCATTAATATTTCACAAGAAACTGCCATAAGTTGGAGCTTGCATATTATTGAGCTTTCAAAACTTCGTACTTTAATACTGGAGAGCTTTGATAATGTTATGAGAAAAGACAAGATTTTAAAATATGTATCGTAAATATCTTAACGAATTTGTTTATAATACTTAGCAGTAAAATAACTGCATAGTGAACTTATGTTGTGATGGAAGTGCTTTCAAGTTGGGGAGCTTTCAAAGCGCTTTTATAGATGAACATCTTATGTTAAGCAAACCTTTGATTGAAAGATTCTCCAAATTTTTGTTATCTGATAATCACGAGCTTGATTGAGCATATTTCACATATTTTTAGTAAATAAAAAGGGTTGCCAAAGGGATTTTGATTATGCTAAGCTTATAAATCTCTAAGAAACCACCACTTTATTATTAAAGGAAAACCAGAAAAAAATTTAAAATATATTTAAAAAATTTCAAAAATTAAAAAAAAATTAATAAAAAATAAAATAGAAGTACATTAAAAAAATGAAAAATATTGAATAGTACCTAAAAAAATTAGAAAAATTAAAAGAAAATAAAAAACTTTAAAATAATTAAACAATAAAATTAACAAAAAATTTAAATAAAATAAAGGAATATTAAAGAAAAAACTATGCAAGGCGCTTAAGATAGAAAAATTAAAAAGAAAATAAAAAACACGTTAAAATCCCAACTTTTTGAAAATTTAATAAAAAGATTAACAAAGAATAAAAAAATTTAAAAAAAAAAAATCCATTTTTCAGGATCCGACTTCCAGAAAAAAATGAAAGTATATAACGATCTGCTCGCACTTAACTACCAACAACAACAATTCTGCTTTATTAACACTAACTTGTACATATATTTGATTATAAAAATTATTAAACCCACCCAAGGCCCCATACCGCATTTGTATTCAAAAAAAAAACTGCATTGACCATTTTTTCACTCTCTGTGCCATCAACTCTCCCAACTCAACTCTAGCGCTGCCTTACATGCCTTATATGCTTGAGATGCAAACGCCAATACCCGACACCATAACAACGGAGCCACTGAACACTGATTTAGCTTAAAATTTAACCAAACAACAACACCAACGGAAATGTGCGCCAACAACCCGCACACGCGCACCACATACACGCACATAAAGAAAACCTAATACACTGTGACACCAAGAATTGAAGGCACGCCAAAGACGAAGATGCAAGTATGATGTAATTGTGGCTTTCGGCGTTTACGCGCGTTCAACAACATTTCGCACATTCCGTCTTCACTTTGGCGGCTGCTTCGAGCGCCGCGGCCGCTGCCTTTTCCGCCGCTTCCAATGCCGCCTTTGCATCCGCTATAGCTTGCGCTTCTTCCGCCTCGGCCTGCTCTTCTTCGACGGCGCGGCGTTTGGCCGCCTGACATTGGGCACAGTGTTTCTCCAAGAATTTCATGGACAAGTGGAACGTATATCGGTGCCGGGTACAACGCCTTTACATTTTATATTCCACAATTTTGTTTGGATTTAGGAATTGCTCACGCTGTGCCGCATCCAAGTGGGCGACGGTGCGACTTAGACTCGATGCGTTTACGGAGGAGCCTGGTGAGGAATGTTTTTGCTGCTGTTGCTGTTGTTGTTGTTGTTGCTGCTGCTGCTGCGTTTGTTGCTGTTTCGCTTGTTGGTGTTGCTGCTGCTGTTGTTGTTGTGATTGATGGTGTTGTTTGTGTTGCTGTTGCTTATTTTGATTATTATTCTCCGGTTGATAGTAACCGCCAGCGCTGACCACACCAACATTGACGCCGGCCACCACCGGCTGCTGCTGATAACCCGAATATTGCGGGAAGTAAGGTGGCGTGGTGTGTTGTTGTACGCCTCCAACACCAACACCGCTGCCGCCTCCTCCGCCCCCGCCACTCAGCATGTCTACAGTTTGTACATTTCCGCCAGATGGATGTTGTTGCTGCTGATATTGTTGTTGTTGCTGCTGGTATTGTTGTTGGTGCTGCTGTTGTCCATGTTGTCCATGTTGATGCTGATGTTGGTGATGCGTGCTGCGCGGCTGTTCGGAATGCAATATCGGATATTGTTGTTGATGTGCATATTCCTGCGCCGTTCCACCGCCCAGCCGCGCTGTCGACTCATCATGCAATCCTTCACCCATGTCGCCCTCACGATTGTGCGCGCCGCGTATGCAAAGCTTCGTGAATAGCCAAACGCGTGTGCGGTAGAGGAGATAGCAACAGAAGTGCACCACAAACACGAATATTATGGCACACACTGTGACGATTATTGCCTTGCCGGGTTTGGTCCAATCCAACATGGGATAAATGTAGACATTGTTTTTTCTGTGAAACAGATGAAGAAGAAGGAAAATTGTTGCGATTGCGTGTTTTAATTATTTATTTGCTGAAATACACACTTATTGGGTGACATGCGATTAACGGTGCAGCTGTGGTGTATAGGTGAAGACGTGTTGGTCAAAATATAATTGATTGGTGATTAAGAAAGTAAACCAAAAATTCGTGCTAGAGTGGTAGAGATGTGAACTAAAAAAAATTAGTGCAGGTAAATAATTTCAAATTATATTTATTATACTTAATCCATTTAAAAAAATATATTTAAAAAAACTTAAAAATAAAGATTAAATGTATTTACAGCGATATAATATTTTTTTTTTCATTTTAATTTCGTTACTGAATATATACGATATTAGAAGTCTCACAAGAAGTAATCAAAACTTAAAAAAAAAAAGTCAAAGCATAAAACATATTTAGCTATGAATCTCGTGGTACTAGTAGTATTTTCAAAAAAAACGCCAAGGCGAATACTCGCTCGACCGAAAACAGAAAATTGAAATTCGTCCAACTACTTAAGCGACTGGAAAATTTTAAAGAAATTTGAAGATACTGGATCGGGTATTTTAAGGCCTGTGCATTTTTGGTTTGCTTGCTCCACCTTAGACATAGCTACTGTAAGAGATAGTGTGATCGCACATTGCGATAATATAAGGCCCTGCCGACCGTAGTATGCGGGAGACTAAGGCCCACTGTCAAAAATCTTATTGGACCTTATCAGTGTGGCGACCTGCTAAATCAATCTGTGTGGTGATGTGTATATCTATTCATCACGAGTGAGGATCGACACCCACTTTGTCGCTTTTAAAGCAGCAAAAGTACAAAAAAAGGAGCTGCCTCTAGCTCAAACAAGGAGATTCCATATCGGGTGACTTCTTCTATTCATGGCTAGGGAAAATAATACCAGCTACAGAGCTGATTAGAGAAGGCCCAATCTTCCATAAAAGTGTACAGCTGCTGGCGTACGCCGATGATAATGGCATTATTGGCCTCATTAAATGAGTTCTGCATTCTCTAGACTGGGAAAGGTAGGGAAGGGTATGGGTCTGGTGATAAACGATGGCAAGACGAAATATCTCTTGTCATCAAATAAACAGTCATGGCATTCGCGACTCGGCTCCGACGTTAACGTTGACAGTCATAACTTCGAAGTCATAGATAATTACGTCTATCTTTGAACCAGCATCTATACCAATAATAATGTCAGCCTTGAAATCCAGCGTAGAATCACTCTTGCCAACAGTTGCTACTTTGGACTGAGTAGGCAATTGTAAAGTAAAGGCCTCTAACGGCGAACGAAAACCAATAACCTACAAGTGCCATACGGTCAGGCGTCAGTGCGGCGTAGAACATTTTTTTATTTTTTATCTTAGACAGCGCCGGCCGTACGGCCATAAGGTGAGGCGCGAGTGCTGAACGCCGGCACTAGGTGTCATACGGCAAGGCGTCAGTGCGCAATAGATTACGTTTAGATTTTAAGAATAGAGCGCCGGCAAATAAGCCACGAGACAAAGCGCAAGTGCTGCTCGCCGGCAATTAGATGCCAAAGGATCAGGCGGCAGTGCTATTAAGCAACAAGGCCCAAGCCAACGGCCCAACGTAGCAGCAAGGCCCAAGCCAACGGCCCAACGTAGCAGCAAGGCCCAAACCAACGGCCCAAAAAAAGTCAAGGAGACGTTTGACGGACATTCGCGAAACCTATCAGGAGTGGAATCGGATACATCGGCTATGCTTGCTGCAAAGTGTAGGTACCAGGATTGCTACGCAGCATACCTGACGTGCGCGGCATTGATGGGTGAAACTATCCACAACCTGACATTTGTGCAGCAGAGCTCGTCAACAGTGAATCCTCCAGTCCGAGAACCTGAAACGGCTCCACGTTCGAGTATTAATCTACCCCCCTGCGACATTGAAATATTTTTTGGTGACTACATGGCATGGCCATCCTTTCGGGATTTATTTACAGCAATATACATTAATAATTCCCGCTTGACCCCAGTTGAAAAATTATACCACCTTAATCAGAAGACTCGGGGAGAAGCCAAGGATATCGTCAAGAAATCTCCATTAACTAATGACGGTTTCGCAACTGCGTGGCAAAACTTATCGGACCGTTACGAAAATAAGAGAGTAATGGTAAATAGTCAATTAAAGACACTTTTTAACTTGCCCACAGTGACAGTAGAGCGCGGAACGGAAATTAAAAACTTGCAACGAGCGGTAAACAATTGCATCTCAGTCCTTCAAATGTATGGGATTGAGATCCGCAATTGGGATGCCATTTTTGTATTCTTAGTTTCTAGCAGGCTTCCGGATACCACCTTAGCACTTTGGGAACAAGGAATAGTGGACAAGGCCGAAATCCCGAGGTGGGAGGAACTAGATTGTTTTCTCTCAAGTAGATTCCAGACTCTAGAAACAGTATCAGATATTCAAAGTACGCGAGTATCTAAAGTAGGACAAAATAGGGCCCCTGTAACATCATATGGGAAAAAGGTGTCAAGTCACCATACTCAATTTTCCCAGCCTGTCTGTAGATTATGCCCAGATTCATCTCATGCGCTAAAGGCCTGCTCAAAATTTTTAGCCATGAAAGTGGATGACCGGACTAAGATAGTAAGGAAGTACAACTTGTGCATGAACTGCTTAGCACATTCACATATTGCTCGCGATTGCAAGAGTTCCTTTAGCTGTTTCAGTTGTCATCAGNGGGCGCGGCAGACGGTCAGCACAGGAGACAACACTGTCCATATCGAGCGCACCCGTTGACTGAGTCCAGCGATGAAGAAGTGTTGGAAATAGATGCCAGCAGCGAAGATCTGGTAGAAATAATAGAACCAGCTCACAGTCACAATGATCCGACGACACTCAGACCGCCGCTGTCGAGTGTGCGGTCAGTAATTCAGCGGCCAATCCAGCCCTCTAATAAACAACGGCAGCGACAACAGCGAAGTCGTAACAAACAACCACGACGGCGCCAAAGGGTGAGAGACGCACGGGAGCGAATTAAAACCCCCGTTCGGAGAATAAACGGAACTGTCCTCACGCCGACAGTAATGGTGAGAGTGGCAACGAACGGGCGGACGCAAAGGGTCCGTGCTCTTATCGATCCCGGGCAACCAGCGTCCTGTATTTCAAAGGCTCTAGCCAGACGACTTCAGGTGTCATCAAGAGATCCCAGCGATCGAGTAACGCTTACCTTGAAGGGCTGGCGCGAAAGGGTGCACATCAGGGCAAGAGTGCTGCCCAGCCTCATCAAAACGACTCCAGAACACACGCTGGACGCCAGAGTTGTGGACGAATTCGACAACCTGAGATTGGCCGACCCGTTCTTCTATCGGAGAAGTACGGTATCCTTTATTTTAGGTGCTGATATCTACGCAGCGATCTTAAGACCAGGATTAATGCCTGCAACGCCAACCAGGCCAGCCGCACAGAACACGCTGTTTGGATGGGTGATATCCGGCAGTACACCATATTGAGGCGTAGGAAATAATCCTTTTTAGTGCTAAGCCAATTGAAATGAGATTAATTTTGTTAATGAATTGTAACCAATGAATTATGAATTATAGTTGGAATCTTTACAAAAAAAAAAAAATGTATTTATCTAGCCATTTAAATATTTCTATTGCAGTGATGCTGCAAGGCGGGCGGCATGTTTATGTGTGTAACCCTGTGCAGTCATCATTTCCACCAAGAGATGTCGCTGCGTTCAAAACAAGTATAACCAGTATATATGACTCGACTTATTTATGGGAAAAATGCAGTTATGTCCGTTTTAGATTTCCACCTTCTTTGGAATCTTTAAAAGACCGTAGTTGCCGGTCAAACGTGCTCTTTTTGATTTTAGCTTTGAACGCAGCAACATCTCCGGTGAGTACCTTCACATTTTTAAAATAAACATCATTTGAGCCCACTATATGAATTCACTTAGTTTTATTAATTGTTGAGCCACTTGGCGTAGAAATTAGGATACTTTAATTTTCAGCTTTCAAGGAACGGCACCTTCCCCGATCCCCGTTGCCGAAATTCACGAGGAATTTCGGCCCCAATAATTCTCGAAAGAAACAATTACCTTTAAAATGGGAAAAAGTTATCGAGTAAAACGTGGCATATTTGACAGAAATCGAATAAATCTAAGTAGAGTAAATAAAATCTTCACTGCAAAAATGACAGACTACTTCTTACTAGACGTATTATATTATTCAGGATCTATTTTTCTGCAGACATTTTGAGATGTTGCCCAAAATAAAGTCATCAGAATTTTCCTTGCGGAAGCTGACGTAGACTGAATTAGCTGCTGAAAGATTGTTTTGCTTAATGTGAAAAACAAAAATCGTTTTCAATATGAATTCTCCAAAAAAGAAAAATCATCTAAATAATAACTTAAATTATTTATTTTTAATTATTTTAAAAAATGATGGAAAAGATGAGCAAGCTGTGGAGAAAATATGATAATGCGTGATTGAATTCTATGCCAAATTTAACAGTAATTCATAACATAAAAAATTTCCCACTTACCTATCTGTACCACCAGCCAAAAAATATATGCCAGTAAATATACCGTAAGCCAAACCAATGCCAGTCGTAAAGTAGACATGACTCAATTTAATCGGATGACCGACGATAGCTAAATCGATGAGCATAATCACCGAGTTGAACACATGCACCATTATATTTAAAGCATCTATTTTGTGAATTTCTAAAATGGAAAATGGAAAAAATCAATTTATCTTCGAGAGCACTTATAGTATAAGAGTTCGTCTCAGAGCTCCCACCTGGATTATGAACCAACAACCAATAGCACATCGTCACGATAAACGAATAGACGGTGGCACATGTGTATAGCACCCAGTAGATGTGATGTAGTCGACTCTTACGCACCTGACGCACAACCTCAAAATCCTCACGTTCCACCATCATACCCTGCGTTACAATCCACGCTGCCAACCAGGCTTGAACCGTGCAAAAAAGCAGACCCCAATGGGTCAAGTAGATCCACCATTTTGCATAATGATTCTCGAAGTGCTCCTCGCTACGTCCGATATCGAGTAGCGAGCACACGAGTGCAGCTAGGCAGGTAATTGCCGTTAGCCAGCGATAGAAGAGATAGACGATGCGTACTTGGGTGTTCCGTTGCCACTAAGAGAGAGAACGAGGAGGTGGAGAGAAAAGTTGAATATATGAAGTGAGAACAAATTTTTTTTACTTCCAAGGGTCTGAGTCTGAGTCTTCACTTACCTGGCACAGATAGAAGTTGTGCCGGTGCACATGCTCCGGCGTGAATTTCGGAAAACAGCTATTCCACAAACGGCTAACCATCATTCTTTTTTGGCCGACGCAGGACGTCGGATCGTCGGTAATGTTGTTGAACCCCTCGCAACTGTCGTCGTGTTGTGGTATACGTGACGTCGTTGCGCGTTGTTGGTGATGGTAGTGTGGCTGCTGGTATTGGTGTTGTTGTTGTTGCTGCTGCTGTTGTTGTTGGTGTAATTGCTGTTGCTGCAGTTGTTGATGGTGCTGTTGTTGCTGTTGAGGTGACGTTTTGTTGCTGTGTATGGACAACTGCGGATATAGAAAATCCGTCGGTGTCGGTGGCGGTGTCGCCGCTGGTATTGGTGACTCGCTCGCGATACTATTCTCTGGTGCTGTGATAGTAAGCGCCGGATAGGTGAATGGACGCAATGACCTATTGAGCACAGGCGATAATATCGGCTCTTCTTCTTCGTCAATATCAAAGGAGTCGTTGAGTCCAACGAGATCTGTACTACTTGCTGCGAGATCGAAGTTGAAATTTGTGGTACTATTGACGGTATTGTAGTCTGTGCCAAAGTCGAGTTCAAGTTCGAGTGCACGTACGAGTTCGTCGTGTACGTCAGCTTCTGGTTCCGGTTCTGGTACCGGAATATCAAGATCTTCAAGATCTTCGACGTTGAGGCCCAAGCCAATGTCGCGACCAATATGGTCAACGTCGTTAACGTCAACACCAACGCCGACGCCCACGTCGAGATCAAGATCGAGCTCAAGTTCAAGATCAGTATCCGGCTCGGCTTCGAGTGCCGGCGATGGTACACTGCAACGTGCTGCAACGTCCAATAGATAATCAGCAGCAAGACTGCTGCCACGCCGCGATGACGACGATTTGTATGCGTAAGCGCCAGAGTGTAGCGACGCACGTTCGTATTCGTAGTCACTGGTATCGAGATCGAGTCCAAGACCCAGACCAAGTCCCAAGCCGTACGCGTTGCTGCTACCACCAACACAACCACCGCCGATGCTACTACTCGCCGCTGTCGATGTAGAGGCGAGCAAGGGTCGGGCGTAATGTGCAAGTGCCGCTGGTGATGTGCGACCGTAAAGTGATCCGGCTGCAAGGTAATTACTACCAATACTACCGGTAATGCTGGCACCACTACCCGCACTGCCGCTTGAGTTGTACCAACGATAGTTGCGTCCGATCGGTGTGAGACCGCCTACACCACTATCGCTGCCGCTGGTGCCGAGATAAGCGCCAACGTATGAGCCGCCGCCGCCGTACGAACCGTAAGCGCTGTAGTTTGCCGAACTGTGGTGGGTCGGTGTGTGGTGGCTCGAGCTTGCGTTGGCTGTTGGTGGCGGCGGTGGAATGTAATAATTACAATGTTTTGGTGATGCTTGTTGCTGATGTTGTTGTTGTTGCTGCAACTGATGCTGTTGCTGTTGTTGTTGTTGCTGCAACTGCTGTTGTTGTTGTAATAGTAGTTGTTGCTGTAATTGCTGTTGCTGTTGCTTCTGCTGCTGCTGCTGTTGTTGTTGCAATAGATGTTGCTGTATAAGTAGTTGTTGTTGTTGTAGATGATGTTGTTGATGATGTGAATGCTGATGAAGATGTGTATATGAGGAGGCGGGCGAATGGGTCGGTGTGGAACGTGAACTAGCTGTGGTGATGTTATAGTTGTGATTATGATAGTTGTAGTTGTTGTAGTAGTTGTAATGCTGTGGCAATTGTTGATATTGTTGATACTTTTGTTGGTACGGTTGATGTTGATGTTGATACTTTTGATACTGTTGGTACTTCTGGTACTGTTGTTGTTGTTGTTGTTGTTGTTGTTGATACTGCTGCGGTATGGGGCCACTAGTTGGCTCTGGACGAAAGTAAAGCTGCGCGTAATCCAATGTGATGGTGTGGTGACGGATGGGTATATGTTTATATGGAGGCGTTTTTATTGATTCAAAACACTTTGATGTGAATTACAAATATTTGTTTTTTTTTGTTGTTGTTTAAATTTAATATAGCTTCAATTCGATAATTGAATTTCCAGTTTTCAATCACTTCTTTATCGTTGATGCTGTGGGCTGAGCAAAACTGCAAGAGAATAAGAGAAAAAAAAAAACATTTTTATGGACTGAAGATATGAAAATTCCTTCGAAAATTTGCTATAAAATATTTATAGTTAACTGAATTCAAAATAAATATGGAATAAGACGAATAAATATTATTATTATTTTTTTAATGATTTCGCCTTTCGTGAAATACTTCAACATTTCGGTTAATGATGCAAAAGCACTCCATTTATATGGCTGCCTCCACTGGCCTGGCAGCAGCCCATCCTTTTCTGTCTGTCGAACCAATTTTTCAACACATTTTCCAAATTCAAATAAGCAGTAGCCTAAATATCACTCGAAAGATGACAAACCCTAGCCATGTAGGCTCTATTCTGTTTTCACTACTTACAAATCAGATTTCTTCTTAGAACTCTTTTCGTTGAAGTCAAATATCTCAGGATAATCTGAAATAGCAAGCTTAACTGGGACCGACACATCGTGAAAAGGTCGAGGAAAGCTATCACAGCACTCTGCGCAAGCAAATCAGATAAAGATGAGGCCTTAAACCGTCTACTGTGCACTGGATTTATACAGCTATAGTCCTACCGATTCTATTTCAGATTCTATTTCAGATTCTATTTCAGAGTGTATAGAGTTCAGCGGTCGGCAGCTATTTTCCATACTCTCTACCAACGACTTCATCAAAAGCCCTGGAAACTCTTCTTCCGCTGAACTTGTCCGGGAGACTTGAAACAAGCTGTGTTGCTATTATATTGGATGTGGCTCAGCCTTGAAGGTATCGCCCTACAAGGCACGCCCGGATATTGTCTTTCGGGCAGTTTCCAGCGCAGTTATACTACAGGGCCGAATGTCCGAAATAACTCGCCGAATATTCTCTTCCAAGGCGTCAATCATCTCAGGCTTATCTGTGCAGACAAGCGACTACACATAGCTTCACAAAATATAACCCAGCGCTGCTAAATTGTATGATTTTGGAAGCTACACTCCAGGTCCAAGACGCGAGCTAATGCGTTAACCAAAAGTTTCCTTCAATAAATTGATTATTTCGTTGGTTTTATGGCATCTAGCGCCGCCAAGTTGGAAACAATGGTCGTCCTTATCAACGTTCTGAGCTTCAGGTACGAAAAGTCATTAATACTGTCCTTACAGCATTCCCCATTGACTAATATTACTGTCGGCTTCATATTTGATGAGATATGGACCCACTGCTTATAGAGCGGATGGAAAAGCCGAGCAGTTAGCGTTGCGTAAGGCCATTCGGAAGGTAAGTGTTCGAGTTCTGGTTCGACTAACTTCCAATATTATGGGAAATGACTATTCTAATTGTGGTCACACTTCGGCAGGAAATGTTAACCCTTCTGAGTATAATTCTGACATGAAATAAAGGCTCCTCATAAAAATCGATCAGCCGTTCGGAGGGGGCTTAAATTGAACTGTATGAAAAAAATCAAGGCACTATAACAAATTTAGAGGAGAAGGAGGACGACTGAATATCGCTTCAGCGGTTACAAAGCTCCAATTCTATATTATATATAACGGCATCTCAACTATCGCTGGTAGATTATCATCGCTCCGAATGCGACAATTTACAAAATGTTGCTGAACAAAATTTTTTTGTGAGCCGCGTGAACCGATTATTTTTTTAACGGTTTCGAAACGTTGTGCCGTCCTGTCGTAAAGTAAATCAGACCCGTTCGCTCGGAGACTTACCACGGTGTACGTGTACATTGAGTTCATTCGCTTGACGATTGAACCAAAGAACAATTACTCCTTGAACGAATGTTACTCCGTAAAGTAAATCACAAACTCATACCGCTCTACATGGGACAGATAGGACAATAGAAAAGTCTGTAGTTAAACGAGAGTACATCCTTGCGGTATTTATTGAAGTAGATTCAAACACTTCCGCATCAATATCGTCAATTGCTTTTGGGATTGAGCAACACTTTCTTGCCTAGTTGAGCCATATGCTGTGGGCGGGTATGTGAAGCGCAAGGTGTTGACATCACCAAAACCGAAAGTGACACTCCACTAGAGGGTATCCTGTCTCCGCATTTGTTACTTCAACTGCTCAGAGTGGAGAACTTAAAGGTAATATGCTATGACGATGATCTTCTTGTGGTAATCGTCCTAAATGACTATCACGGGTTAAAGACAGATCACTTGAAATCGCAGCTCTTTGGGCTGAGAGCCAAGGACTCTTATTAGAAAGACGAAATTTTATTAGTTCAATTATACAATTTCTTGCAAATCTGTTAAGCATCTCGGTGTATAAAAAACTTAGCTGGAGGGAACATGTTTAAAGCAGGTTGAATAAAGCACTCCGGATCTGGAATAACCGCAGTAAAGCTATTGCAAGTGATGTTAGGTCCTTAGTAACATAGTATGGTGGGCGGCGCTAAAAAAAGAGTGCAGCATTAAGTCCTTGAAACAGGGGCAACATTTTTGTCTACTTGGTATAGCAGGCGCGATGAACACTACCTCAACTATGGCTCTAGAAGTCATCCTTGACATAAAACCAATTTATATAAAAGCTATGTATGAAGCAGCGCTAACGGCAAGCTGCTGTTCTAGAAAATTGGGTGCAGTGAGGTTGAGGTGAAGTAAAGAAGAGATCGCATTCAGAAAATTATATCAGAACTCGGTCTAAACATAAAATGAGACTGAGAAACGGAAACCTTCTGCCGGGTAAATGATACCTACTCGTTCACTAAGAGAGAAGATAGGAAAAGATGGGAAGGCGGCTACATTGAAAACAGTAAAGATATCCATATCTATACTGGTATACTGTGGTCATAATAACCAAGGTAGCTTCAAACTGAATGACTAAAATCCTGTATTCCAAACAGAGATTGTGGGCTTTAGACAAGTTGGCAAATGGACAATCTCTTTAAGAGAAAAAACTATCATGTTTTTGTGTGGTCAGTCATAGGGAAATTAAGCGTGTCCAAATGCGGCGGCCACGGCAGCTGAGTGGTTAGCATAGCGTACTGCTCAAATTTGGGTGCGACCAACATCCAAAACTTATAAAAAAATTAATTTAAATAAAAAAGTCAGTTAAATTTTCCAATTGCGGTCGTCCTTCGGCAGGTATTATTAACGTGTCATGAATTAAAGGTTCCTCATAAAAAACCATCAACTCGGCCGAAAATCGCTCCAACGGTTACGAAATGCCAGTAATATATAAATATATAAATGCGTTATAACATGCAGAGAGGCAATTAATAGACAATCGCAGGAAAATACAGTGATTACCACTTGGGTCCCTGGTCACCATCGACTGTCTGAAACCTCAACTTCTTCAAATATTAAATTAAACATCTCGAAAACTTAGTATTGTTGTAGGACTTAAGACAAGCCAGATAAAATAGAATAGACTGCGGGGAGAGCATACACAAAAGATAACGAAACGTTGGAGTATAACATTTGCGTATGTCCGGCCTTCAGCTGATTGAGACGTCACACCTTCCCTTCAAATGCCCTCAGATCCAAACTTTCGGAGTTGTTCACTAATGATTCAAAGAAGCTAAAACAATAAAATCGATCAAAATGTTCACAAAAGCATAAATAGGTTCTGCGTCTGAGCACAATGAGCCTACTCTAAGGTTCTTGTGCGGTTGCTTGCGATCAGATCCTCAACCTCCCCCTTTCAGCCAACCATGTTCATAATGAAATAGCAAACCAAACTGAGTATAAGTCCAGAAACAGTTGTCAAAAGGACCTAACCCGAAAAAAGTTATACTTCAATGAAAACCATGCGTGTAAAAAATACCCTTTGTGTATTTACGCATTACATTTAACCTTTATAATTGGTTGTGTTAACTACTGTTACAACGTAAAGCGGCTTACTGGCGCTTAAGTATACCTTCATAAGCGCTTAGTGCTTCAGAGAAAGAGGTTATGTGCTTCAGAGAAAGAGGTTATTTGAATGTACATAAGCAGAAATCAAATGATGTAAGTCCACTCGTTGAAGAAGAAGCTGCAAATATTCACTTTGAGTTGCACAATATGTTTAAAATTACAAATGTACAATATGTGCAAAGGATTTTCCGGTTAATGTAATTTAATAATTACGATATTTTGTAACAAAAAAAAAACAAGTTTTTCGGAATCGCTGAAGCTTGACATGGAAAAAAACAGTTAAAACAATGAAGTTGATGTATTTAATACATTCACATATATTTATATATATATATATACATATATATATACATACGTATATATAGTTAAGTAACATTGTAACACCGGAAGTTCACAATATAAATTCGACAAAAAAATATACATATGAATTTATTATATATGTAAGTGCAAATGTTTGCCAGAAAAACCCTTGACAGCCATTAGCTGTTAAAATTTTGAAAACTATTTTTTTTAACAAGCAAAATGTTATTATTTAAATTAATAGAAAATATCCAAACGCCAAACTAACGAACTGCAACTCTCGTGTACAACACGGCCAATGGTATATAAGTATGTGTGTGTAAATAACTACACACATACATGTGTGCAGCTGTATTTATGCAGTTGACAAGGTCATGTAGAAAGTTGCAGACACAATGAAGAAACATACAGGCGGAAATTTTCGCAGAAAGTGACAAGAGTATTAACATTAATTCACTGGAATAAGGTATTAAATGTGTTTGTATGTATGATCATATTGTATGAAAATAATTAATATAAATACATACGTATATGGAATACATATATGTAGTTCCTCTGGAAACCAAATAAAGCTTAAAATAAAGCTTTTTAAGCTTAATTTTTCGAAAATGTTTTTTGTTTACTAATATAAGGTCAAGTAAAAAGTTCGTTCGGTTTTTATTGATTTTTCCAAATATGATAACTTTATGTACATTTGTCCGATTCAAGTCAAATATGCGCCGTTTTGTTCGTAAACGTAAACCAATGAGATTCCAGCTTCATTATACCCCTCTCGTAGAAGGCTGCGTCCCTATTCGCAAAAAACTCGGAGAGCCAAATTTCACAGGCCTCTCTTGAGGCCAACTTCCCACCATTAAGCGCGTTCGCCATGCACAGCAAAAGATGGTAATCACTTGGTGCCAGGTCCACACTATTAGGTGGGTGCTATAATACCACCCATCCGAGCTCCTGGATCTTCTGGCACGCCACCAAAGACGTGTGTGACCTGCCGTTGTCCTGATGGAACACAATTCGGCCTCTGTTGATCAAAGATGGCCTCTTATGGATGAGTATTGCCTTCAAGCGGTTCATTTATGGGTAGTAGAGGGCCAAATTGAGTATTTGGCAGCTCGTAGTAGATGATTTCTTGAAAATCCCAGCAAAAACTTCAGGCCGTCAATCCGGTATTGGCCACCGTCTGCGTCGTTTCTCTTAGCTT